TGCCCCCCCCTAAAATTTTCCGGCTGCTGAGAAGCGGGCCCAGCCGCTTGCGGACAGACGCTTCCTGCCTCCCGCAGGGCCGCCTGCCCCACGCTGCTTCCTGCGGTGTGGGAAAGTCCTGCCGGAGCCCGAGCTGCTCCGGGGAAGGTGGGAGTCGGGCTGGAAACAGGTCGCTGGGAGCCAAGGCAGCTGGAGCCAGAGCTGAAAGGAGGGACTGTGGCTGGCGGGACTCAAGGTGGTGCAGCGCGAGGCGTTCCTCCTCCCCACCGCCAGAAGAACCTGAACTGCCAGGAGGCCCGTGCCAGCGGTGCTGCCGAAGGACGGAGCATCCAGGACAGATGTCTTGGCGGGTGTCGGCAGGGAGCGTGGTTCATCTGCAGGAGCAGGGGAGGGTTTGTTGTCCGTGCTCTCCACCCCTCGGTCTCATGCAGTGGTTTCTGCTTTGCTCTCTGGGAGAAGTGGCAGCGTGCCGTCAGGGCTCTGATTCCCGGGTTCTGGAGACATCCCAGCTCAGATGCAGTGACCATTAAAACTTTGAGAGGAGAATAAAGGCACAGCGGTTGTGTGCAGACGCAAACGCTGCCAGAAACGCAGCCGGCGTGGGTAAGGGTCAAGCAATTCCACCCTTTAACAGTTTCAACACAAGCAGACCCTATGAGATGAGAGAATGGGAGTTTTCCAGAGCCTGAGGTCTGGCTTGGGGTACGCTGAAGACTCGCCTGTGTCAGGAGAGTTGGCAAGGGGTTTTCTGTACCGTAGTCTTTACTCAGCTGTCTGGCACTCGCTGATTCCGAGTTTCCCTGAGCCAAAAGCTGTCTGTCTCTGGTTTTGGTTTCTATAAATTTCAGAGACTATTTTTTGCCACCTCTACCTTTCTGCGTGAGCGAAAAACAGCAAACTCCTGTTTTCCATGCTTTGTTTGGGAGACGTGGACAATTTAGCAAATATAAGATGCACTGATGGGCAGCACCTAAAAGCAACGTGTAGCCAAAATAAACCTTGGTAGGATGTGAATTCTCCCTATTAGGTGCGGGGCAGAGCGACGGGCTCACCAGGCTGGGGAGCTGGGTTGTGGCAAGAGGTATGTGCACCAAACAGGTCACAAACAAGTTATGCTGCTGTTAGTCAGACATGTAATTTTTTAAATTCTAGGTTAGCTTTAAGCTGCTTCAGGCCTCTTTTGGAGGAGGTACAGAAGCAATCCAGTGGTATGCATGGCCCTTAAAGATCCACGATCACTTGTCCTCAGTGAGGTCTTGACACAGGATTCTGGGCTCTGCAGGCTCAGTGAATTACTCTGCTTCCTGAAATTTCTACTGCAAGATGGAGACGGATTTAGGGCTGTTCTCTTTATTCTGAAACAGAGCTCCCAGAAAATGCAGGCTGATTCTTGTGTTGCTTGTAATAGGCTTTAAAAGTCCCCAGCTTGAAAAGTCCAGCAGAAATGGACGGTATTAAATAACGTGGTGTTAGACATGGCATCCACGGCACGGGGCCTGTCCTGGGGCAGGGGCAGCACGGAAAGCGCCGTCTGTGCCCTGCGGAGCTGGGGTGTGTGCTGGCGGTTGGTTTGTCGCGGGGAAGTCATTACAGGTTAGGGTTCCTCTTTTTTTCCAAGCACCCAACGTGCACAGAACAAAGAGCGTTCCCACACTTTATTTTCGGACATCTCCCAGGCAAGCTGCAGGGTTGAGTTGTGATTTGTGGGGCAGTAAGGCCTGTGGACTTTGTCCAGTTCTCTTAAACTGCTGCTGTGCTGCTTAGAAAATGACTGGCTGTAATTGCAGCCTATGCCTTGACTTTTAGGGACTTGGGATGCAAAACCAAGAGGCGAAGTCAAAACTGAATGATCTGCTCTTTTCGTACTTCTTTAAGGAAATGTCAGCGCGAGCATTGCGCATGCAGCCGCAGAGGAACCTCTGCAGCAGTCTGGGCTCAGCTGCGTAGGTGCGCGTTGCGGCAGGGCGCTTGGTGAATTCCTGGGAGGCAGGAGGCAGCGTCCCGGCTCCGCTCGAAGCCTCGACTGGGGCAACATCGCTTCCTCTCTGCACCCCGAGTGAAACGGATGCCATGTTCTAGGCTTACACCAAAAGGGCATTTTTCTTTCAAGCCTAACCCCGAGTAATCCTCGGAGCCTTGTTGACTTCATGGATTGAAAGATTGACTTGGAAGTCAGCGCTGCTTTGGTTCATTGGGGGCTACTCAGAGGCACCTGATTCTGCCACTGGCGGCCAGTTGAAAGTCGACGAGAGCAGGGTACCTCTGAAACCTGTCGCTGTTGCATCCTGCATAGCCAAGGCTCTCTCATCTGTCCTGTCTCTCCCCGCTGCTCGTGTCCGTGCCGCAGAGCGAGCCCCTCTTCCGGCACTGCGGCCACGCGAATTGACTGCTGCGGCTCTGCAGGCTTTGCTGGCGCAGCGGCCGGTAAGGCAGAGCTGACGCGCGCTGGCACGGAGCGAACATGCGTGTCCCGGACCGGCACAGCTGCGGCCTGGGCTAAAGAAGGCTGAGGCTGCCAGCGGTGGTGAGGATACTGGAGTGCGTCCTATGGCAACGTGGCCGCCTGCCTACCAGTGTGGTGTCTGGTAAGCACGGCCGCAGGACCAGGGAGGGGATGAGCCAGGGCCAGATCCGCTGCAGAGGAAGAACCGGAGCAGGGCTGAGGCTGGGGGGTGTCTCCCACCAGGAAACTCTGACGGGAGGAGGAAGAGAAGGCCAGGGTGAGGTGAGGTGAGGCTGGCAGCAGGAGTGGAAATGTTGGGTTGGATCTGCAGCCCTGGTTCTCTTGGATGCCTTGTGCCTCTCAGCACCAGCGCGGGGACGGGCAGGGATTGTAGCTAAAGCGGCGTGTCTTGTCCGCCCCAAGCGTCGGCTGCGCGGCAGGATGGAGCACTGAGTCCTGTTCTGCCATGGCCTTTTGACGGCGAGGTGAGACCAGCAGAGACGCTTTCGGCGGGGATGGCAGAGCGCAGTTGTCACAACCTTCGGTAGAAACCCCGGAGGTGGCTGCTCGGCCTGGCGGCACAGTGGCAGCGGGCACTGCCATCCTCCGCCTGCTTGGATGCCGCAGGTCGGGGATGGTTTCATCCTTGAGGGAACTTCTCAGAAGCTGCACCTCGGTTTATCTTTGAACCGGAGGCAGAGACAAAAGCTGTGTGGTCTTGTTTCAGTGGAATGCTGGGGGATTCATTAGTTCGTAGCTGTTCAAAGGTGCAAACTAAGAGCTGGTTGTTCACAGTGCATTGGGACCCGAATCTCATCCTGAACTACATCTCTCCATGCCTGCCAAAGTTTTTCTACTACTACACAGATGGATGTGTTTTCAGTGAAGGCTTCCACGTGGAAGGTTGAAAAAAAATAAAGTAAAAAGTAACTCCAAGCTTGGAACCATGCTGCCAGGGAGAATGTTTACAAGGAAGCAGCCTGATAAACAAGGAAATTGGGTGAGTTGCAAAGAGGTGAAATTCTGCATTCTGGCAACAATTCCCAGCTTGTCAGAGCCTCACAGTGGTCCCAGCCACCTCGGGCTGACTACAGGATCTTGATTTTTACAGGCAGCCTCAGGAAGCTAGGTTGGACTGAAAAAGTAACAGAATTGTATGAAACTTGTCTGAGTCACTGACCCCGCATCTCCACTAGCGCTTTCAGGGCACTGCTCGTGGCAGAGGACAGAGGAGCCTGCAGCTGAGAGAGGAGAGCTGCCCTTTCTGGTCACCACGAATCTCAGATCTCCTCCCCTAGCCTCTCCCAGTCCTTTGTACTTTCTGTGCTAATCCATCCAGCGCAGCGTAAACTGACGGAGGCAGCAGCTAGAAACCCTGCTCTGAAAGCAGCTGTGAATGCCTCGGGACCAGCAGCAGCATGCACATGAAAACCGTGCTCATCCTCCTCGTTCTGGCTTTGGCCACGATATTTGCTTTAGTCTGTGTGTTGCTGACCAGAGGAAGGGCCCCCGGCCCCTGCCAGCACCGGCCCCTGGAGCAGGAGGACAGCGATGACGGCCAGAGCCTGGTCTTTGCCGATCTGACGCCCGAAGAGATGGTGCAAGTGGTGCGGTACCTGCAGGGAAACCTTGGGGTGCGGCTGGTTGACGCCTCGCGTGCAAAGCCCTCGGAGAACTGCATCGCCTCCGTCGACGTGCAGGTCCCCGCCAAGGCAGAGGTGCTGCGGTTCCTGGATGGGGGGGGGGCTCGCCGCCCCCCCCGGGAGGCGCTGGCTGTGCTGTACTTTGGGAACCAGCCGGACCCCAACGTCACCGAGTACGTGGTGGGTCCGCTGCCGACGCCGGCGTATCACCGGGACGTGACGGTGCAGAAGTACGGGGGGAAGGTGCCCTACCACCGCAGACCGACGCTGGCTGTTGAATACAAACAACTTGCAGGGTTTTTAAAAACCCAAGTGCTCCCCACAGCTCCATCTTTCATGCGTCAAGTAATGGAATACGATGGAGCCAGTCTAGCACCCCTGATAACTGCTCCCCATGGATTCCAGTCTGGAGATCGGATCACCTGGTTCGTTTTGTTTCAGAATGTGAGTGGTTTCTTCGTGCACCCGGTGGGGCTGGAGGTGCTGGTGGACCACAGCAGCCTGGACATCTCCCGGTGGGCGGTGAGCAGGGTCTTCTACAACGGGCAGTACTACAGGGACATGGTTCAGCTGGAGAGTGCCTACGTGCAGGGTCGCATCAGCGTGGAGAAGGTGAGGAGAGCGCCACAGGATGGGGACTTCTCGTCCATGAAGCCCCGAGCGCCTTGGGCCGCGCCGTTCCCTTTGCAGTACGAGCCGCAGGGTCCCCGCTACAGCGTCAGGAACAACCACGTCCTCTTCCAGGCCTGGAGCTTTGCCTTTGGGATGAGCGTGAACACGGGCCTGCGCCTGTTCGACGTCCGACACAAGGGGGAGAGGGTTGCCTACGAAATCAGCGTCCAAGAGGCATTGTCAGTGTATGGCTCCAACTGCCCCGGCGGGATGTCAACGAGGTACATGGATGGGAGCTTTGGCATTGGGCGCTACACCTCCCCCTTGGTGCGAGGGGTCGACTGCCCCTATTTAGCGACGTACCTGGATGTGCACTACCTTGCTCATTCCCAGGTCTCTAGAATTAGTAAGAATGCCCTCTGCATTTTTGAGCAGAACCTGGGCTCCCCTCTGAGGCGCCACTACTCCAACGTGCAGTCGCTCTACTACGGGGGGCTGGTCAACTCCGCCCTGGTCGTTCGGTCCATTGCGACCGTGGGCAACTATGACTACGTCTGGGACTTCATCTTCTACCAGAACGGGGCCATCGAAGGCAAGGTCCAGGCCACGGGGTACATGAGCTCATCCTTCCTGCACGGGGATGGCCTGAGATACGGCAATAGGGTTTGGGAGCACACGCTGGGTACGATACACACCCATGCCATCAACTATAAAGTGGACTTGGACGTGGGAGGTAGGTCTGGGTCTTCCTTTAATGTCTGCCTTTATACTGGTGAACCCCCGAGCTGTGGGGGGATTGCCTCCTAGTCTTTAGAATCCCTAATAACTGACATCAGAACTCTGCTTTTTCACTCTCCTAACCTCTTCTTTCATTGCAAAATTATTTTTCTACATATAAAATAGTCTGTCAAGGTCAAGGAGTCGAAGGCAGTGTGAATTGTCTGGGAGCTCTGTGTTCAGCCCAGGGAAAGTATGAAACGTAGCAGCTGAAAAATGTTTGTGTTTCCTTGAGGCCTCATGTCTGGCAGGGTGAGTGTTGCCATAGGCATGGCCAGGCAGACAGGGAGACACAGCCCTGTCTGCGGGGCCGAAGGTGTCAGCCCGCTCTTGCTGCGCCCGATGCTGGTCCTGGCCCTCCTTGTGCTGTGGGAAAGTCCTTTTTGTATCTCGACTGCCCAGCGTGAGGCAGGGCAGCTGGCCCGGTGCTCTGCAGGGCTGGGCGGGCGCAGCTCTATCTCTGCTCCTCTTTTGAGGAAACTCTTGTAAGTTGGATCCTGCGTCCCGGGCTGCAAAGCCGCTGCAGTGCGCCAGTGAATTCCCCTGCTCCTGCACACAGTCACGGTTTTTGGCAGCGGATCCCTGCCGAGGGTTATTTGAGTCCAGGAGCAGCTCCTTCTGCACCGTCTGGCGGGCTGAGCAGCGGAGTGCTGGCATCCACCCCGGAGGCGCAGGGATGCTCAGCCTGACGGGACAGCTTTGCTTCCCCTTAAAGGCCATCCCAGTAACTGCAGCCCGGGAAGGGGCAAGGGCAGTGGTGGTGCTGGGGCCACGGACTGGCAGCATTAGGTGTCCGTTACTGAAACCAGCTCCGGTAAAAGGTAGGGGAAAAAATGTTTTACATCTGCACAGGACCAAAGAGATGGCTGGTAGGCAGCGGCCTGCATCTGTACCAGCCCGAGGAGAAATGCAGCTGCAATAACCCGTGCTGTCTCCTGGATCGCGGGGAGTAATCGGAGAACTCCGTACATCCAGCTGCAGCTGACTCCAGTGCAAGCGTTCCCTCCCGGCACGTGTCCTCTCTCGTGCCTGCCTGCGATGCTGCGGTTTGTGTGGCCTCAAAAGGTGCTGCTGCTGTCATTACGGTTGAAAACAGAGCTGATACTGGTTCCCTTCCTGTAAGCAAGGCTCAAAAACATGCTAAAATACAGTTCCTGCGTGGTGGCAAGGTCCTTTTCCGTGACTGCTGTGCCCCTCAGTTCCCTGCTGTGTTTACAGCCCCTGAGCCCTGGCTGCTGCAAAATGCTCTTGAGTTGTGTAAAATGCCAGACTTGTTCCCCTTGGCGAGGGAGGGGAGCCCTGTCCCGAGCAGCAGGGCTCGGGGCCAGGCGGGGAGCTGGAGAGGTGCCCTGCAGGATCCCCGCCGCCCGAGTGCGGGGACGGCCGAACTGCAGCACAGCGAAAACCGGTTGTCTCCCACACAGGCTTCTTGGATCCCGATCTGAGGCTGGTGTGGGACCCGCAGGGAAAAAGGGCAATTATTCCCTGGCTGGAAGTGAGAATGAAAACATAGGTTCCTAAATTAACATGAACACAAGAGTGGTAAATGGATCCAGTGCTGTAGTGGTTTCAGCCCCTCCTGCCTGTGCCTCAATCTGTCTCCACCAGAAGGGCGTGAAGTGGGCCACGATCTCTGGAAAGCCATCCTCGGCTGTCGGTGACGTATCGCTGCCGCCTCGTGCGGGGCTCCTGCAGTGGGGCCAGCCTTGCAGAAGCTGGTGGCCGTGCAGGAGCAGCTGCCTCACACCGCGGTGGGGTGGCCCTGGCCCCCGGCTTGCTGCCTCCAAAGGGCTGCTCGCTGCTCTCCTCGCCAGGGAAGGTCCGCGGTGCGGTCAGGAGTACTGAACAGATTCCTGACAGTAACCATTTCTGTCCGTGACAGCTCTTGTCCCAGGATCCTGTCCGCTGGAGTGGGGTTGGGATGGCTGAATGGGGACAGATATGTCCTGTTAGCTGTCCTGCAGCCTTGGCTCATGCCGGTGCAGCTGCTCCGGTGCTGCCTGTCGCTTGCAGTTGCTGCCAGGGGTTTGGCGAGTGCTGCCTGTTCTCGCCAGGGAGCTTCCTCTCATCTCCGCCTGGCCGCCGCAGCTGGAGCCAGGCTGGAGCTGCCAGGTCCCTTCCCTCAGGGCCGGGAGGGACTTGGCGACAGGGAATGGCGACAGGGAGGACAGGCACATGGAGGTGCTGGGGAGCCGGTGAGTCTTGGGCTCTCCTGGAGCACCAGCCTAGACTGGCCCTTCAGGGGAGCGGGGCTGCTCCCGGGGCGCGGGAGGAGCGGGGCCGGCCAAGCCAGCCCCTGCGGTGTTGCTGCGCTCCCACATGAGACGGGACGGGGCGTCCTGGGAGACGCCGGGAGAAGCAAAGGCCCCTTGGGCAGACCGAGGCCGCGGCTCTTCATGGTGTCACCCTGCAGCAGAGAAACCCAGCAGTGGCTTGGGGAGTGAGTCAGGCACCGTCTCCCCAGCTGGCTTCCTCCGAGTGTCTGGGGTGGGGAGGAAACAGGCTGAACTGGCTGGGACCTCTGATCTCCTCTCGGAGTCCCATGCGAGCTCCAGGCTCCCTCCCCACCTCACAAGTGACGCCTTTACGCCCACAGTCAGCAAATGACTTAAAAGCCTGGTCTGCAGGTGAGGGACGTATTCTGGATGCTGCTGCAAAACCCTGCATGCTGTCTCCGTACTCGGAGAGATGAACCCCAAACTTCCCTACGTTCTCCTGGTTGGGGCTGCGGTGATAATCTTCATTCTCTCCTGCATGCTGGTGAGCAGGGGGAGGCGGTCACCCAGCTGTGAATCCCAGCCCCACGTTGTGGAGAAGACGGGATCCACAAGCCAGAGCCTGGTCTTTGCCGATCTGACGCCCGAAGAGATGGTGCAAGTGGTGCGGTACCTGCAGGGAAACCTTGGGGTGCGGCTGGTTGACGCCTCGCGTGCAAAGCCCTCGGAGAACTGCATCGCCTCCCTCGACGGGCAGGGCCCCGCCACGGCCGATGTGCTGTACTTTGGGAACCAGCCGGACCCCAACGTCACCGAGTACGTGGTGGGTCCGCTGCCGACGCCGGCGTATCACCGGGACGTGACGGTGCAGAAGTACGGGGGGAAGGTGCCCTACCATCGCAGACCGATGCTGGGCAGTGAGTACGAGAAGGTGGGAGCATTCTTAGAGACGGTGGCATTTGCTGCAGCCCCGACCTTCCTGAAAGAAGTCTTTGAGTACGACGGCACCAATGTGGCGTTTCAGACCACAGCCCCTCACGGGTTTCAGTCTGGAGACCGTAAGTCCTGGTTCATCATGTTTCAGAATGTGAGTGGTTTCTTTGTGCACCCGGTGGGGCTGGAGGTGCTGGTGGACCACAGCAGCCTGGACATCTCCCGGTGGGCGGTGAGCAGGGTCTTCTACAACGGGCAGTACTACAGGGACATGGTTCAGCTGGAGAGTGCCTACGTGCAGGGTCGCATCAGCGTGGAGAAGGTGAGGAGAGCGCCACAGGATGGGGACTTCTCGTCCATGAAGCCCCGAGCGCCTTGGGCCGCGCCGTTCCCTTTGCAGTACGAGCCGCAGGGTCCCCGCTACAGCGTCAGGAACAACCACGTCCTCTTCCAGGCCTGGAGCTTTGCCTTTGGGATGAGCGTGAACACGGGCCTGCGCCTGTTCGACGTCCGACACAAGGGGGAGAGGGTTGCCTACGAAATCAGCGTCCAAGAGGCATTGTCAGTGTATGGCTCCAACTGCCCCGGCGGGATGTCAACGAGGTACATGGATGGGAGCTTTGGCATTGGGCGCTACACCTCCCCCTTGGTGCGAGGGGTCGACTGCCCCTATTTAGCGACGTACCTGGATGTGCACTACCTTGCTCATTCCCAGGTCTCTAGAATTAGTAAGAATGCCCTCTGCATTTTTGAGCAGAACCTGGGCTCCCCTCTGAGGCGCCACTACTCCAACGTGCAGTCGCTCTACTACGGGGGGCTGGTCAACTCCGCCCTGGTCGTTCGGTCCATTGCGACCGTGGGCAACTATGACTACGTCTGGGACTTCATCTTCTACCAGAACGGGGCCATCGAAGGCAAGGTCCAGGCCACGGGGTACATGAGCTCATCCTTCCTGCACGGGGATGGCCTGAGATACGGCAATAGGGTTTGGGAGCACACGCTGGGTACGATACGCACCCATGCCATCAACTATAAAGTGGACTTGGACGTGGGAGGTAGGTCTGGGTCTTGTCTCTCCTTTGTGCCCTCCCTGAGTACTTTTAGACTCCCCAAAATTGATATTTTTTGGTCCTTACACAGATTTTTGTTTTTGTACGTGGGGCAGGCTGGTGCGCTGACACAGAGCTGCCTCCCCTCTGTTTTTAGAGCAGTGAAAAGCCGTTGTCCTGAGGGGAGAGGTTCCGCAGTTACCCGTGAGCGTCGGGCAGAGCTGAGGCTTCCTGGGCTGGGTAACGCAGCACCGCCCTGTGCCCAGCCTGCGCCCCTGCTGGGACGGGTCCTTCCCCTCCTGCCTGGACGAGCAGACCCAGCCCGACCCTGCCCCCTTGGCCTCGATGCCTCCGAGGCTCTGCAGAAGTCAGGATTTTTCCCTCCGCGCTCTGCCCCTGTCCTCAGCCCCAAAGGACAGTCGGCATCAATCAAGCTGGTTTGTTGGGATGTGCTTTCCAGCTCACGTTCCTACTTCCTACAGCTTTGTCGAGCTGTTCCCGCTGCTCATGTCCGAGTGGGACTGGCAGCTGCCCTCTCCGCAGGGCTGCGGGCGCAGCAGGCAGACGCTGGGCTGGCGGCCAGCCCGAGCTTAGGGCTGTGCTGCGTTTTGCCGGGGGTACAAGGGATCCTTTGCTCACAGCAGCAACGGCAGCCTCAGCTGCAGTTTTCTAGGTCTTCCCCTACCATTTATGGCACAAATCTGTCTTCAGGCTCCTGCTGGAATTGCATTTGCTGCATGCTCCTGCCCCCTATTAAAAATTTCTGCTGAAATTGCATTTGCTGCATGCTCCTGCCCCCTATTAAAAATTTCCCAATTTCCTTTTAATTGGGAAACACAAATTTAAAGACTCTTCCATGTGGGTTTAGGATGAATTTTGAGTACTTCTTAGATAAAAATGGGGGATTGCAAAACTGCAAGAACAGGGAAAAGGCAGATGAAGTCAGAGTGTCGCTGCTGTCACTGGAAGGGGAGGTGTGGGGTTAGAAGTTTTGTTCACACCAGAAAAGGGAAGAAAACGAGCATGGTGGTGGTTGCTGGGGCTCAGGCCCAAGGCGCTGCTCAAACCCGCCAGGATGGCCAGAGGTTCAGCTCTGAAAGGGCCTTTACGCAAGCTGGAAACTCGTGTGGGGCCGAGGGGAGCAGAGCATGGGAGGGCGTTACGCTGTGCACCTCAAGCGCGTTCAGCCAGCTCTTTGCCATCTTGGCCCCAGATTTATTTGCTCTTGTGCCCCTCCTGTTGCTCTGAGCCGCTGGCTCATGACTCTTCTTTGTGGAAAGACCTGAACTGCGCAGCGCTGCTCCAGTTTTGTGATGTGCAAATGTCTCGGAGCCTGGGCTCTTCCTAGCGCTTTCCAGTTCGCAGGACGCATGCTGATGAGCACAAACACCATGCCTGGGCCATCAGGCGCTTCAGTTAATTAGACTGTGCTTGCATGGGGAAGGAAACCTGTTCTTCTGCACTGGGATGAGGCTCTCCTCTTGTCCCTCGCAGAGCAGGAGCGTCCTTGTGGATGGTGGTGTCTGTCACAGTGTGGTGTTGCCTGGCTCAGCCAAATGTGCAGTCATACAGCCATAGATAAATGTACATGACGTACAGTCATACCGCTGTGGAGCGGTAACTGCTCTCACGGGCAGGAGCCGGTGCTCGGAGCCCGGGGTGCGGGAAGGGAGGATGGGGAGAGCGAGCTCTGGCTGCGGTGATGTCCGTGGGGAGCAGGGGACTGTGGGGATGCTCCTCAGTAACTTTGCTTTTGCTTTGCAGGGGTGAAGAACTCCCTGGTGGCCCACGACATGGCGTTTGAGATGACACGGGCTCCCTGGAGCCCGGAGCAGCAGATAGAGCGGCCACGACTCACCAAGAAAGTCCTGGACACGGAGGACCAGGCTGCCTTCCGCCTCCAGTCGAAGATGCCCAGATACATCTACTTTGCTGCCAACAGCAAGAACAAGTGGGGCCACCAGCGTGGCTACAGGATCCAGATCACCAGTTTTGCGGGGGACCATGTCCCCGAAGCCAGCTCCATGGAGAGGGCCATCAGCTGGGCAAGGTCAGGCTGCCCTGAGTGGGACGGCAGGTTCTCAGAGACGCCGCCAGCCCCGCCGGATGGGGAGGCATCGTGTGGCTGTGCCTCGATGGGGAGGCACAGGCTCTCTTGGGCTGGGGTTACTCCACAGGGGCAGGCTTGTGCTCTGCAGACTCTCTGGGGCGCTGGCTTTTAGCTCTGCCCTGCCCCAGGGGCTGCTCCCATCTCTTTTCTTGTCCTCAGGTACCAGCTGGCCGTCACCCGGCGGAAGGAGGAGGAGCCCACCAGCAGCAGCATCTACAACCAGAACGACCCCTGGACGCCCACCGTCGCCTTTGCCAACTTCATCAACAACGAGACCATCACCAACGAGGTGGGCCGGGGTCCCCTGGGCTGGAGCTGTAACACCCAGCCCCAGAGCTGCCCGAGGGCCGAGCGACCCCGGCATCGCCTGCAGGGCAGCGGGCTCAGCTGGGAGAGCAGCAGCCCTGGGGAATGAGGAAAGCGCGTTTGAGCATCCCCTTTTCTGTGTTGGTGCTTTGGTCAGAGTGCGTAGATCAGAGTGCAGAGCAAAAGCTTCTTTCTCCCTATGGAGAAATGCTGGCAAAACGTCAGGAAAATCTCTGCGAGGCCGGGGCTTGGCCGCGGGGTCAGGGCAAGGACCCTTCTGCTGGGTGGACGCCTGCGGCCGTGGCTGCGGGCAGGTCTTTGGAGAAGGGAGGGGATCTTTCCCAGGAGGGGGAGCTCGGCACGTGGGAACGCAGCGGAGCTGCTTCCCCATGGAGGCCCGCTCCTGCTCTCCTGTAACTTTCCATGGCCCCTGCGCAGATTTCGGTCGCTCCTGCTCCAGGCTTCGGAAATAACCGCGGTCTTGTGGCTCCTCCCTGCCTAGGACCTGGTTGCCTGGATAACCGCTGGTTTCCTTCACATCCCACACTCTGAGGATATTCCCAACACTGTGACGGTGGGAAACTC